AGTAGTAGCAATAATAATAGTAGTAGTAGTAGTAGTAGTAGTAGTACTAGTAGTAGTAGTAGTAGTAGTAGTAGTAGAAGCAGTAGTAGTAGTAGTAGCAGCAGTAGTAGTAGTAGCAGCAGCAGTAGTGGTAATGGCAGTAGTACCAGCAGTAGTGGTAACCGTCGTAGTAGTAGTAATAGTAGTAGTAGACGCAGTAGTAGCAGTAGTAGCAGTAGTAGTAGTAGTAGTAGTAGTAGTAGTAGTAACATAGTAATAGTAGCGGCAACAGTGGCACTATAGACAGTAGTACTTGTCACCGTCGTTGTGTAGCTGCGGCTGCAAGTGCAGATGCTAGCTGTTGCTGCAGCTGTTGCAGGCGTGATTGCGTCGTTATGTCACTGTAACCGACTGTAAACCCAATTTTTATACAATATCACGCCTACTCGATAATGAAGCCGACCCTGAACCCTAAACCTGAAATAGACCTGCTCTCTGCCCGGGCTCAAGTCTGCTTTCAGCGCCAGGATCAAGGACCGAATCGCTTCGTCCCTCTGGTCACGCAGACCTCAGGGTGTGTGTAGGCCGTACGCCTCTAGGCCTTTAGGGCACTCAGGCTGTCGGATTCTAGGCTGGGCTTTTAAGGATGTAGAACTTGTGGTTTACAACTCTGAGGAGCCTCGAATGTAACTTATCTAGTCGCAGAAGACAGGTAGAGCTGCAGGGCACTACTGGTAGTTTTTTTTGACTGAAAACTCAGCAGAGCTGTACTGTACTGCCTAGGCATCAGGACCTACGACACACCCTAGCCAAGCGTTGCCAGGAACTCTCACCACCATGCAGTCGTATGACCAGCTTGCAATACCTGCTGCTAGCAAGCCTAGGGCTAGGGCCTAGTCAGCGCCTGCCAGGGCCACCTGATTTAGGACTTGGAGGGTTTGGGGTTTCGGGCTCCTAAGGCGTGGAGCTTTTCTGCCTGTATACTGTCACAAACCACCTCCAACCTTTCGAAGCACTGCAAAACAGACATCAATCCCCATCCCGCTTTCGATCTGCACGAGGCAAGGCCTTGGCCCAAAGCCAAGTCCACCTCCACAAACAAGCGATCGATGTATTCCTCAGTCTGAAGGGCGACAAGAGGCAGAGTTTAGGGAGTTTCCCTGCTGGAGCACCAGAACTCGAAACTCGGGGGTTACCAGGGGGCATGGCGATTTGGTGCTTTGGTTCGGCTTTCGGCCCTTGCCAGCTTCACTCTTCGGGCTGCGAAGGGCGTGGACTTGCCGGATTTACATTCTCACATCTCGGCATTTCCAGGCAAAATCTCAGGCGTAGCGGGAATGAAAACAGTGTACCCCCCTTTGTCGCGAGGCGGATGTAGGGGGTGGAGTTATGGGGCCTTGGATTTACAGGATCCTCCGCAACTGAAGGTTAAGCCGACAGAAACCTTCCAGTGCAGGTCTTTGTTCCAGTGGTGGTCTACTTAGACCCAATCCGACATGTCTCAGCAATGCGAACGCTACACGGTCCTTAACCCCAAGCCTAAACGACGAGCTGCTGGGCTTGGGGGTGAGCCCTCCGGGCTCTCACCGTAGTCCACCCAGATAATAACGTCGATGTCGGAAAGTCGTTCCGCTTGCCTTTCGGGTTCAGGAATTTTTTCGGGCCTGGATTCAGTGTTTCGGGTCGCTACGACCCCCACAAACTAACTGACCTTACTAAGCGCCAAGCCTGCAGAAAGCTAAGTAGAATCGTTGACTCCGCAAAACCTGACCTCGTTCTGCCCATTTAAATATGATAATATGATGCTTCTCATTTGTGCTGCCGCAGAAAAGGGAGATGCCCTCGCCACTGCGGTCCGACAAAGACTTCTGACTCGCAGCATACCATGTAAGCGTTGAACTTCCCTTGCTTTCTGTTGGAAACCGTGTCAAAAGCTCGTAGGCCTTTGCTGCCGCTGGCCCGAATCCATCCTCCGCAGGAGGTGAACGTAAGGTTTCGGCCCATGCTCAGCAAACACAGGTCACCGCCCAGCTTAAAACTCCATGCGCAAGACACACACCAATCACACCCGCAATCAGACAACCAACCGATCAACGAGTTGGCGCCGTCAAGGACTGCCTACCCGCTGTACTACTTCCTGTCGCTATACATAGCTCTCAGGTGCTGTGGACTAGACAGAGCAAAACCCTAAACCCTTAACCCTAAGGTGCGGGCATTGTGAGAGCAGAAACAAAGGTGGAGTGCACAGCTTCGACCAAACTCATCCTGTGCTTCGCTTAAGACTTACCGGTCGTAGTGCCAAGTGAAATCCACCTGGCGGTGAAACATCGGACCGCTGCCAGACCACTAAAAACCGGACTACGTTTTTCAGAAAGGCAAAGCACGGCTAATCCCAAAGCGCCACTAAAAACCCCGACGCCATACTTTGCACTGCTCACGGTGTCTGCCCTCAGTACCCTGTTTTCAGTACCGCAAGTTTCCAACAAGTTCTCAAGGCATCGTCTGTACCGCATAGGCCAGGTCGAACCGCAAGTTCAAGTTTTACAAGCCCTGCTGCAAGCAGGGATGTACGAGACATCTGGTGAACACAGCATTCGCAGCTCCGTGAAAATGCATTAAGGTGAT